TATCGTGTTTATTCTTTTTTAGAAAGACATAAAAATAAAATAAAAAATTTTCCACTTTCTTTGTATTTCGTTTGAGTGATGATTATTTTTAGAGAATTAAATTAATAGTTTTACGTTGACCTATGTAATTAATATTTGTTTTGTTGAATTATTGCTTTTAGTGAGTTATAATGATTTAGTTTTTTAAAAAATAATTTAAAGTCCTTCGACTTTATAATAAGAATTCAAATTTTAAGTAATTTTTATAATTAAATTTCTTTAAATTGAATAGTTAAAAACATAATTAGGCCGACAATAAAATTAGACAAATTTCACGTATATACTTGAAGAGCATTACGTAAATTTTAGACATGAAATCTAAATAAATAAATAAATAAATAATTCATGGTAAAGTTGAAAAGCGTTGCTATCAATATACCCCACATTAATAAAATAAGACAACCTGAAAACAAGTTTAAATCAAAGTAGGCTGGTCATAAGCACTTCTATAAAGCTCATAAGTTATTTTTAGGCCATAAATATAGGATATCCAAATATAAGTCAATAAAGCGACTGTGTTTACGGAACTCGATGAGTGCCTAATACTTTCCTCTCGATCAACAAAATTTCTTACCTAGATTTCTAGTTTGCAGACCATCAAAATGAAGAGTCAATTTTCTCTTGATTAGGGATCTAAATAAGGTGACTTGGAACATCAAAACTCAATTCCAAGTGACGACTCTAAAATAAAATAATCCTTTTTCAAAATAGTCACTTTAATTGGAAAAACTCTTTTTTCAAAATTTCATTTGGGAAAATAAGGGTGTGACACATGCTATTTTTAATACACCAAATCAAACACTAAGTAAGAAACAATCTTTGCATACTAATGCAAATATAACTAATACTAACATTATTAAATCAGTATTACTAATACACCTTATGCATCACTATTCTTGTATACCCCTATCAAACGATCTCGTAGTGATACTATTTTTGAAACTATTGTGGGCACATATACTAGTGTTATATAAACCTAAGGATTCATTTGGTAGAGTCTGTTAGGCAAAAAAAAAAAAAAGCATTAGTTTTGTATATTATTATTATTAAGTATCTTGTTTGATACACTTTTCAATCAATGTATAACTAATGTTTGTATTAGTTATACACGCTATTTGATATTAAGGTGTGTATAACACACATAAATTCATGGTCTTAATAATGCAAAGAACTTTTATGCATGCATTAGCATTATTAAAGACACAATTGTTCCTCAAAACATTTTTCATAACTTTTCCATCATATTTGTGAATGATATTTTTGTAGATAAATATTTTTAAAAAAAATTAAGCAATACATGTTATTTTTAATATAACAAATTAAATATTTTATAAAAATAATTTTAACATAACTAATACAAGTATTACTAATACACCCTATTTAATAATATTCTTATACATTCTGCCAAACGATTTTAAAAAAATATTTAGACTTAGAGGTAGTATTTGTTTAGTGGTAAATATTAGCTGATAGGACAAATCATGGGGAGGAGTAGCAGAATTATCCCAATGGAAAAGGAAAAGAAGAATAGAGGAAAAACTAGTAAAGAAAAGCAGGAAACTTCACTAATCTCAGTACACAATATATTTATTCAGTCCTTTTTTATTTTTCCAGTTTTAATTTTTTAACTTTAACATTTTTTTATAAAACAAGAAAAAAAAATATTTTTTATCTATTACACCCTCAATTTATTTAGAGGATTAATATTTTTTAAAAAGGTAGAACTCTTTAACAAGTAAATTAATTTTGAAATTATATCCATGAATAAAGATAAAATAATAAATCTACTATATTAATTTATTTATTTTTAATAGATATATCAAATTAAAAATAGAAAAATAAATAAAAACCAAGGGAGTATTGGTATAAATAGAGAAAGACCAAAGAACATGAGTTAAAAAGCAATATTTGAAAATGATATCCCTGTCCTCCTTTTGAAGCACATCTTTCTATGTTATGTCTGGCTTTCAGTCTCGAGAAAGCGACATCAGCTAAGCTATATCCCTAATGCCTGTAAAATTGAATCGAAAATCGAATTAAATCATAAAGTAAGTTAAATTAAAAATAAAATCGATTGATGAATTGGTTTGATATTGGAAAAAGAAATCTGATTATACTTGGATTAATTTGGTTTTAACTAAAACAAATTAACCAAAGATCAAATCAATCTGATATTATATATGTAATTTTAAATTTATTTTATATATAAATTTTTATTCTTTGATATAGTTTATAAATATTTCTTATATTTTTTTTATAATTTTTATCTTTTAACATATTATTTCAAATATTTTGAGACTTAAAATTTTGAATGGTCCAATAAAGGTTATAGTCCATGGATAATAGTAACTCTAATAAAGTTCAATTCAAAATCAAATCGATACTACTGCTAACAAAAAAAATAATTCAAACACTAAAAATGACAATAATGTTGAGTATTTATTCTTTATTTTTGCATGACATTTAAAATACGTAACCTAATTTTAATTTTTTTAATATTTAATCATGTAATTAATACTTATTAGACTTATTTTAACATGATTTAGTACTTTTAAATTATAATTTTCATTATGACTTATTAATTTATAATATTTATTTTATGAGATTTTATTATTATTTTTTGTTGAATATTTGAGTGCATCATTCATCTCATATTTTGTATACTTTCTTAAGAAACACCTTATATAATTGTATTTTGGTACTAAAGAAATATTTGGAGCACATGTTAATTATATGTTTGTATGAATATTTTACCAAAAGAATTGAATATCCTGAGGTTAAAAACCCAAATTTTATTAGTTTGGTTTAATTTAAAATTTTAAAAATTTAACACAAATAATTTGATATGATATTTAAAAAATTCGAACCAACTCAATCATGTACACCTCCTACTAATAACCCTTTATTTTATTTTCTATACTAGACTAAATGAGTTGTGCGACTTCATTAGATTGATTTTTTTTTAAAAATCTATATCGAAAAAGGGAAGCAAATTGATATATTAATACTTGCTAGAGTTCTCTTAAATTGAGGAACAATATTAACTTAGAAAGACACATACTCCCTCTGTTTCAAAAAGAGTGTCCTTATTTAACTTGACACAAAATTTTAGAAAATAAAATAGATTTTTGAATTTTGTGGTCCTAAATTAAAGTTATATCAAGTATACTAAATTGTTCTTTAATCCTGTGGCCTTAAACATGTCACATGGAAAGTTGAAATTAAAATGTTACCAAAAAAGAAAAAAAATCATTCTTTTTTAAACAAACTAAAAGAGAAAGTAGATCATTCTTTTTGAAATAGAGGGATTATTATTTTTTACTAAACTTTGAGAAGTTCCTTCATCCTTCCTAGCTGCGAGACCTATAGAGATAATATTCTCCATGGTCACTCACTAAGGAGTTTTTATACAGAAAGTCATTTAACTTTAATTTTTATTTCAAAATTTACTCAATTATAAATATTTAGTTACAAATCACTCAATTTTGATTTTTACTTCAAAAGTCACTAAACTATAAATATTTTACTTACAAAGTCATTCAACTTATTTAATTATTTTTTCCATTAAAATCAAATTCTAAAAAAAATAATAATATCAATTTACAGTCATTTGGTTGATTATTATTTGTAAACATTTTGAAATAACTAAATAACACATATTTGATTATTAGGTAATTTATTTAAATTAAAACTAATATTTTCTAGTAATCAAATAATTTTAAAGAAAAAACTGACAACGTATCGTAAAATTTTTAAAATAGTTTTAAATGTATTATTTTATCAAATAACTAAATTAAAGTATTGTAAACATTTTAAAAGAAGTTTGAATGCTTTTTTTTAGAATATGATTTTAAATACTAATTTCATACAAGGAAATTTTAATAAAAAATAATTAATATATATTGAGTAATTTTGTAAGTAAAATATTTATAATTGAGTGAGTTTTGGAGTAAAAATTAAAGTTAGTGACTTTTGTGTAATAAAACTCTTTAGTTGAGTGACCATTAAAGATATTAACTCGAGACCTATACGTAGAAACATTTTATTCTTCCAAGTGATCTCACTAAATCGACAGACACATGTTATATAATATACTTTGATGGCTTTATATGGGACAAATCTGAAGAATTAATTGAAACATAATAAAAATGGAGTGAATATTTAGTCACAAAAAGGCAAAAAGAAGACATGAACAATCTGAATCAAAGACATATGAAATTCACTTCCAATGTGTTATGAGAAACAAAATTTTCTTTAAGTGGTAAAATAATTGAGTTGATATCTTTATGAAAATCAATAAGTCGAATTTACTCTTCTCTAGGCCTAGAAGAGATAATTTTGATGATATGGTGGATGATTATCTTGGTACTAAAAATTTCTAACAATCATAATTTTAATGAATATATTAATTAAGGACCGAAAAATATTCAGGATGAACATAGAGAACCTCAATTATTACTGTGGTGGAAGAATCGTGGAGAACAATATTTTAACCTTGCAAGGGCGGTTCGAGATGTGCTAGCAGTCCAAGCATCATTAGTAGCTTTGGAGCAAGCTTTCAGCGCGACTAGATATATTGTTGAAGATCATAAGTTCATTAGCAATAGATAGTTCGGTAGACTTTTTAAACCTATTAAGTATTATGTTATGTATAATTAATGCATAAAAACTACGATATTAGCAATACATAAGTTTTAATACATGCATTAGCATGAGTAAAGATACAATTAATCCTCAAAATTTTTTGCACATTATTTCCATTTTATATATGAAGGGTATTTTTGTAAACAATTAATTATTTTTTATAAATATGTAATGCATGCTATATACACGTAATTCTTTACCGAACTTGAGGTTTTACACCATTTTCAGTGCTTAAATATTGCTTTTATATCTAAATTAGATGTTTTGATTTTATCTTATATTAGTAAGTTTATTTTAAAATATTTGAGAACTACAATAATAGACTTACATTATTAGTGTAAGTTTTATTTTAAAGACTAGATAGGTGGCGCCCATGCCAGCACGGGCCTAACAATAATAGTTGACGTAGTGGTTATAGATACATGAAATGTATGTGAAGGAGCAAAGATGAAATACAAAGAAATGTGTATGAATAAGTGGATCACGTATCCCATCTTTCTGTGTATCTCTGTGTAGATAATAACCCTTCGTGTTTTAATGAAAAGGAAAAGAGAGCTTGACACCTCAATCATATTTAGGATCACCAGGATTATGGCTTGCACTCATTATAAAAGCTACCATTTTCCTGCGGATTTAACTTTGAAATATCTCATAAGAGTAATAAATCTATTTAAAGAAAAAGTATCTGCAGTGTCTCATAATCCCAAATCGACAATTCTTCCATCCATATCCACATTAGCATTGAAATTCTCAAGTATAGTAGGAATATAATCCTGGGAAGAATGCCCATATAGATCACTGCTACTACTACAATAACATAGTCAGTATAATCCCATAAGTGAGGTCCGGAGAAAAAGTAGTTGGAAAAAAAGAAAAAGCATGTGAGAACTCCTATCTTCTTAAAATGTAACAATAACTACGACAAAATAAGACAATAATCAAAGTACAACAAATGTCAAATAGTGACAGAATCAAACAACAAGAAACTACAAAGTAGTCGAAATAACACTAAACTATGTAACTAACCTTTTAACCTAATTCGAGTTCTCCATAACCTGTTATCTAAGTTCATTTGATCGGTCAGCTGAAACTACGACATGTTGTATCTAACCTGTGAAAAGCCAAAAAGAATATCATCTATTGAATCAGAAAGTACGAAATGGAAGCAAAAGGAAAGACGAAAAACACATTAAAATTCTCTTAGTATTACATGATTTAGATTCTAGCAAATGCAATTGTCATGATACCACTATCAGGTAACAAGGGAAACAACGTAATCGCAACTCCATTTGTGTGACATATAGGAGAGCTTAGGTGAAACGCAAAGCTGTTATAAGCATTGCACTGATATAAGGCTTTTTAAAGACATAAAACACCAAATCTATTTTTAAAAATAAAAACAAAAATCTAACTTGTTATAGATGAACCACTTGACCATCGATTGAACTACTTATGTATAATTACTGTAAAAAATGAACAAATAAAAGGCTGAGTCAGGATTAGAAATTTACGACATCAAATCAGTGATCACAGTTTAGAGTCCTTAACATTGGTCTCAATAGGATGTCAAAATTTGACATTAGAACGAATTTTACCTCTGCCGCTTGAAGAGACTGGAACACCCACTCGGCTTCTGCATCACAAAGATGCCAAGCCTATTGAAGAATGACAAATGAAAAGTAAAATTATTGAGTGTCGTCTTATTAGATAAACCAATTTGCTGTTAGCAGAAATAATAATTCAAAAGTCAGAGAACCTTTTCAATGGTATAATAGTTATACAACTTGTCAGAGCATCGAGAGTCTGAACAATCAGTCGAATTGAGATACATCAAAACCAAAAATCAATGAGGATGTAAGCAGCAATACAATGTTATGCTATTTTACAAGTGATACATGTCTGGAGTACGAGTAGAGCAGAAATAAGAACTTATAACTTGAAATCTAATGTAAGTAATCTGTCTGTGAGATAGTGGATATGTAAATAAAACACAAGCTGCAAGATGGTATCAATAGTGTAATTTTCATGGATCTTATGTTCTGCAGAATCTGTTTTCATATAACACGATGACAATATCATTTGTCTTGTATGAGCAGGTAACTGGCTTATCACTTCGTTTGAGTCAGATGTTAGTCTGTAATCACTGTAAGAAGAAATAGTACTGAGTAATCAGGAAAAAAAAAGAAATTCAACTTGTGCGTGCAACTTTCAATTGCATAATGCTCTAGGAAAGATCCCTTTACCTCATCTCTAATCTTACATAGTAATACGTTAGCAAAGAAACTGTCAACTTGAGATCGAACTTCTAGTTTGTAAACTCTGCTTCATCTGAAGAGAGGAATCAATCTATCTTTTCTGCTAGTCTTTTCCCTTTTTTAGTATTAAAATCTAGCTCTTGCATCTTCATTCGATACGGGAAATGGTCGTATCTTGTGCGTGCAACTTTCAATTGCATAATGCTCTAGCAAAGATTCCTTTACCTCATCTCTAATCTTATATAGTAATATGTTTTAGCAAAGAAATTGTTACTGAAGAGAAAATCCTTACTTGTATTAGCGGAAAGAAAATGTCTACTACCAAGAATAATGTTGTATCTTGTAGCTTTGGTTCATTTCCTATTATATATAATATAATAGACAGAAAAGTGCGACAGTAAGCACATCCGTACATTCTCCAACAACATTTTGTACGAAGAAGTTTTTAGCAGGCACCAAATATCAGACGAATGAGTTGCTAGCCCACTTCCTTCTTTGAATATCTAGTTTAAATTTCGACAAAAAATTGATTCGAAGATGCACATGTCATTTTTAAAGTGCACTGTGTCATACAACATACAAGAGAAGTGAAAAAATGTTAGAAACAAGTACTTTAAAGATAACTAAAAGTATGTGATTTAATCCTATAGACAAATTTGCTGAAGGCAACGTGGCTAAATAGGCAAAAGACAGAGACACAAATATAAGGTAAAACGCAAAAGTTTCATGCGAAATCTTTCTATAGTTTCCTTTTGATAAGATCAAAACTATGCATCCAAAATACTTGTACACTCGGGAAAAATGAAAATTCCATCAAATAGCATAAGAAAGAGTAAAATTACTACTAATGAAATCCGCAGGAGAAATACATGATCATAGATGATTATTTTGATTTTTGGTTCATAGGCCAATTACTGTTCTTTGACATCTCTGTACCAATTTTGTTAGTCAGAACATTTTAATGTCCTAATTCGTCAACTAAAAGGTCAAAATAAGAAAGACCCGCGGTTTTCTCAGCGATAACTCGCACAAATAAGCATACCTCACACCCAATTACCTGGAATTCAACCCTAACAAATCATGCCTAACAATGATGAAACATCAAAATTGAAGCACATAGACCAGAGGGAAAAAGTAAATTCAAGATGGGACGAAGATACCTACCGGAGCAATCGAGAGCACCACCCAAAAAATCTGATAAACTTGTGTCAACTTCCACCTATAGTAATGTTTGGCGGTGGAGCTGTAAGCATGTGTTATTGTATAGCCGGGACACGTGTGGAGATTTGCACAAGACACACAATACCAGCACTTCGAAAGACAAATTTAACCCTCTACGGAAGCAGACATGACGACGATCACCAGCTTCCCCTTAGACTCTTCTATAATACTAGATAATGTTGCCCGTGCTATGCACGGGCCCAATAATATAAATGGTATGTTTTGGGGCTAAATAACTGAATTTTTAAAGTGATTGTTTGCGTGGATAAAGGAATAAGTTTTTTTATCACAAACCTATACTTTCTTTGACGCCATTTAAGGCATAATAAGACTACTCACATATAACATTTTTGAAATATTTTATGTTGTCCATTATCATGATTTATAGTATTTTTACGATAGATTCACTTCAAGAATCAGTGAAAGTTTTTGTATTTTTTTGAAAACATATTTTATGTTGTCAATTTGATAATTAAAAATAGATATCAACTTTTAAAATTAAATTTGATATAACAATCAAACTTCGAGATAATAAATTGTAATTCGAAAATTTATGCCCAACCTAATAAAGTAATGATCCTCTGGAGAAATACAAGATTTTGACTTCTTCATCTAATGAAGTTTGTACAACTTAGGGAGTATAGATGTTTAATGAGAATCTCTGTTTAATTAAGTTCCTTTTCAATGTTCCTTTACGAAATTTACATTTTAGTTTGATTATGTCTGATTGCAAACTTAATCATGATCCGCAAATTTATAATTTTGATCCAAACATGTAAAAAGTACTCCAAATCACATGTTGGGTCCGTGCGCAGCACGGGCATTAGGAAAAAAAATAAGAAGAAATAAATTAAAATGGACCCAATATATGTTATTTTTGTTGTCTCAATTTATGTGACACAAATAAAATTGAGAGTCATCCAAATTTTCCTATTTTTAAAAAAATTATTTTAAGTTATTAATTATTGTGATTTATAATATTTTTATGTAACTTTCAAATAACGTACATTACTGGTCACTTTGTCCTAATTTATGTGATATGGATAAAATTACAAAATTAACCCTTTTAAAATGTCTTTAAGATATTTTAAGTTGTTAATTATTATTATTTATAATACTTTTTTGGTAATATTAAAATGATATGTGTTATTTTTTCTATCCCAATATATGTGAGCCTGATAGAATTATAAGAGTCAACGTATTTTATTATATAGCTTTTAAATATTTTAAAGCTTTTTAAGTCATTTGTAAATGATATATGTTGCTTCCTTGATTGAGACTTTTCCATTTGTGACACATATATATAGATATTTGGTGCCCGTGCCAGCACGGGCCCAATAAATATTAATTTTTTTTGTTTTAATTTATGTGATATAAATGGAATTTGAAGATCAGTCGATTTTTTATATGTTTTCTTAAAAATATATTTGAAGTTATTAAATTGTTGTGATTTATAGTATTTTTGCGTTAGTTTTGAATAATATAGGTTACTCATGTTTCAATTCACGTGAATAATCATAAATATTTTCAGTTGTTAATTTATTGTGAATTCTAGAAATTTTGACGTTATTTTCAAATAGTACATGTTACTTATTCTATTCCAATTAGTCAACCAAATTTCTTATATGATTTAAAAATATTTTTAATTGCTAATTATTGTGATTTATAGCATCTTTTATGTAACTTTTAATAATATATAATTTGTTCAAATTCATATGACAATGATAAGATTTCAAGAATCAACGCAATAAAAATTTAAATTTTTTAAAAAGTTGTACCTCTAATATATTTTGTAGCTAAAATATACTCTCTCCGTCCACTTGTATTTGTCATGTTGCGCTTTTCGAAAGTTCATTTGACTAATTTTCAAAGTTAAATCAGATTGTATTAATTCAATATTTTAAAAAATAAATTAAATATGCAAAATCTATACAAAAAGTACTATAAATTGTAATTTTTTGCCTATGAATATGATGAAAAAACACATTGTAAAATATTAGTTAAAATTCTTATAGTTTGACTCTAAAAAAGAAATCATAACAATTAAA